GATGATCAGCTCCCAATGGGAGTCCCAAATAAGTCATCGGCATTTCACCCACTTAACAGGCTATATTATCTGCTCCCCTCAGTGTCAACTGCTCCTAACAGAGAAGCAGAGACCAACCTACGCAGCAACCAAATATACCAATTTTTTCCTACCACATCTTGATGTGCGTAGAGGTAGACCCTCCGAAATACATCTTGACGTGGAAGAAAAGCGATCAGGCGAGCAGGATCCTGGTAGGAATTTACAAACAGTGTTGGTGTATTTTTGACAAATTGTGGAAAACAGTTAATTCGATTGCAGGCAAGGTTAACTCTTACCTGCCACGTACGCTAGCATAATGAATTGAAGCAAGAGCTAGCATTTGTGAACCCAAAGCTAAGGGAAAAAGAGAAAACAGGGTCGTTCTATATATATGTTTATACACACACGCGCGTGTGTGAAAGACACAGAAGGAGATATCTGTAGAGACAGAGATCGGAAAGAATAAGAGAGAATGGCCATGAAAAGCAAAGTGCTAGTAGTAGGGGGAATGGGTACTTGGGAAAGAGGCTAGTTAAAGCAAGTTTAGCTCAAGGTCATGAAACTTACGTGCTCCACAGGGAGGAGATAGGTGTTGACATTGACAAGGTGCAGATGCTCTTGTCATTCAAGCAGCAAGGAGCTCGTCTTGTGCCTGCCTCGTTCAGCGACCATCGAAGCCTCGTCAATGCTGTGAAATTAGTAGATGTAGTTATTTGTGCGATATCGGGTGTTCATATCCGTAGCCACCAAATCCTGCTTCAACTCAAGCTTGTTGATGCCATCAAAGAGGCTGGGAATGTTAAGGTATTACCTTGGATGCATAGCTAATTCCGCTTGCCAGATGAAATCTTGCTTTTGTTATGTTAGAATCTTTGTTTAGCTGAGTCAATCTCAAGTAGGTTAGCATAAAAAAATTTCTTAATTCCATAAAGAAGTCACCTGAATATCATTAATTCTACTCTACCAAACACATATTTTTGGTCGATCTTGCTGAACGGTACCCGATTTGATATAATTAATGCAACAGAGATTCCTGCCATCTGAATTTGGCACTGATCCTGCAAGAATGGAGAATGCCATGGAACCTGGAAGGGTGACATTCGATGACAAAATGGTGGTGAGGAGAGCAATCCAAGAAGCGGGCATTCCTTTCACGTATATTTCGGCAAATTGCTTCGCCGGTTACTTCCTCGGCGGTCTTTGCCAACCCGGTTACATCCTTCCTTCCAGGGATCATGTCCGCTTCTTGGGAGATGGCAATCAAAAGGGCACGTTAATTTCTTGTGCAGGAGTTCAGTCAATCAGTCTTAACTTTCGCCAATATTAATTTCCTAATTTTTCAATCTTTTTCTCCCCTTGAATTCGACAGCAATTTACGTGGACGAAGAGGATATAGCAACGTATACCATCAAAACCATTGATGACCCTCGGGCTCTGAACAAAACGGTGTACATAAGGCCGCCCAAGAACATCTTATCTCAGAGAGAAGTCGTCCAGATATGGGAGAAACTGATAGGGAAAGAGCTGCTTAAGTCTTCAATTTCCAAAGAAGAGTTTCTCTCTTCTATGAAAGGTGAGATCAGTCTCCTGCTTTGGATGAATTGATGCGTATTTTTTATTCAACAAATTTAATTCAGGGTAACACATTTTTCAAATCTATTATTAAAAATATTTCGAGTAATAGTTTTTGTACATTTGTTATATTCATCTTGTAGATTTTATTACACTATATAAACTTTTAATAATATTATGAATGAAATGTAATTACAAAGCCTGCACTTTTGATATTGTTACTATATATATACATGCTTAAGTAACGATTTTATTTTATTGCTTAATTTTAATCAATATGGGCAAATGCAGAACAAAATTTGGCAGAGCAAGTTGGATTAACACATTACTATCACGTATGTTATGAGGGATGCCTTGCAAATTTTGAAATAGGTGATGGAGGAGAGGAAGCTTCTAAGCTGTATCCGGAAGTGAAGTATACCTCGGTCGAGGACTACATGAAGCGTTATTTATAAGTAAAATAATTAATATAGCCATATTGATTTTGGCTTTCTCATGAACGGGGTTGAGAGAATTTCAATGTCTTACCACCCCCAAAAAAAATAAAATAAATACAAAATTTGGTGTTTGAATTTGTGAATTTTGTATTTATTTGTAGTTGTTATATATGTAATTTTATATTCGAATTATGGGTTTTTAATGTTTTCATGATTACACCTTTATTTTAAATCTTAAGTAATTAGTTGATGTGCAGACTCAAAGTACATATAATGAATTTTAGTTCCAGTTTATAGTATTAAAATGAAATATAAACGTTTTATTGCTTGAAAAGAGTTACAAATATTATTATTTAAGCAAGAAAATTGAGTCCAAAAAGTTTCTCCAAAATAAAAAAAGAAAAGTTCTTCGAAGGACTAAAATGAAAAGAAGGCAAAAATACTAGAGTGAAATGGCAAAAATAGAAAAAAAAATCCTGGGTGGCTCAGAACGCGCCACGTCAGAGAGCGCACCGCTTCAGCCTTCCAGTTTCGGTTATACAACTTAACATAACTGTCGTTGTTGGGTTGGAGAAGCGAAGATGCTGTTATCCGCTCATACCATTGCATTTTCTTCAATCCCACAGAGGAAGGTAACAGTGACAGAACCGCTTCATCCATTTTTCATCATGTATATATTACCTTCTGCCTGTGTTGCATATCGTTTTTTCCAATGCCCAGAAAATGAAATTGCCTGGAAGATGAATGCTAGCATTCTCTTTTGGTTCTTGAATTAGATCCCCAATTCTCCATTTCTGCTCTTTTGAAATCGTGCAGTGCAAATTTGGTAGTCTTTTTCGTGGTTAGTTAAGTGTTTGATATGTTTGAAGTAATTCTGGAGAAGTTGTTTTGTTTTTCTAGATGGGTGAACATAGCTGACAATCAGGTGAAATTGGGATGGATATTTGGTCCTGGTCTGCACTTTTCTGCATAATGATTAATACTACCAAAGTGCAGGTGATTCACAGTAGAAGCCATTGGACAGAAGTTGAGACTACTAGATTAATCAGGGGATCAAGCAATCTCAGGTTTATTACTCGTTCAGTTTCCAAGGAGGGGAATACCTCGGTTGAATCTGATGTGCCGTTCCCCATTGACTACATTGACCTTCTTAAACAAGTAAGCGTTAAGGAAGTTTATCTCCATTTCCTGACTCGCCTTGCACATGCCTAGCATAGACTAAACGCAATCTTGGGCTACTCCGAAAGAGGGCAATCTCTCTCCTTTCGACATTTCTATGAAATTTATAGCGCTGAAATACATCATTGATGATTTAGGCTTTGAACACTACGGTTAGAGGAAGTTTTGGTGTAAAAGAAGGCTGATTTGCAGAGTCCTTTCTTTTTATTGTGATTACTTGTGCCATTAGTTTTAGCAACTATTGCAGTGGTAAAACCTTACTACTCTGGATATGTGTCAACTATCAGGCAAAAAAGGCAACTGAATTGGCTTTGAAGGATGGCAAGCAGTTGATGGTGAGATAGCACTGGGTAAATAATTGAAGAATTAAAAGCACATACTTCGTTCAATCACAGTATAGTTTGTAACCTACAAATATCTGTTACAGGAGATTGAATTCCCAACGGCTGGACTTGAATCTGTACCAGGTTCTCTTCCCCCCTTGTCTTTTCTTCTCTTTCTTCCTCCTTTCCCTTTTTGACATCTATTGCTTCTTATTATATGTGCACCTACACATCAGGTGATGGTGAAGGAGGCAATGAAATGACTGACAGTATGCAGTTAATTCGTGAATTTTGTGACATCTTGGTAACTCCAGAGAAAGCAAGACAAACCAGAATAGTAAGTCTCAATACTGAAGCTAATCCAACTATTATGATAGATCATAATGGGAAGATGGAGGCACCAATTATTCTTAGCTTTATGCAAATAGCTTTCCTTAATACAAGCACCATGGAACTGTTCTGAAGTGTTTGTGATCTGTTTCTATAAAATGGTTTGTATTAAGACTTTGAAAAGCTGTCATAATTTGTGCGTAAAAACCTTTGCTGTAAATTCAGTTTTTCCCAGAGGCAAATGAAGTTAAGTTTGCAAGACAAGTGTTTGAAGGAGCTCCTTTCAAATTGGACTACCTAACAAAGCCATCATTCTTTGAGGATTTTGGTTTTTCTGAGAAAGTGAAAATGGCAGACCGGGTAAAGCCAGATGATGAATTGTTCCTGGTTGGCTATCCGTATTTCAACGTTAATGGTAGTTTCAAACATCCTGTGTTCTTGTTGATACGTACAGTGCATGAAACTTATGTCTGCTATTCCGTTATGCAGAAATGATTGTGGTGGAAGAGCTCTACGAGGAAGCTGTGGTGAATACCACCAGAAAACTGATTATATTCAATGGAGAACTTGACCGTATCAGAACAGGGTGTATCCTTGGGGTGAAACTTACATTTTTCTTGGTAATTTTAAATTCAATTTAATCTACATAATAATGACTCATTTAGATTTCAACAGTATTCATTGTCACTCCTGTGCATTACTTTGGAGCTCTCCACCACTCTTTATCGGATCTCTACCTGAGAGGTTTTGAAAACTATCCAAGACTAACAGAATTTTCTTCTGCATTCTATCATCTTGTAGTGGTAGACAGCTGAAGTGCTAAATTCTAATTTGTCCTTAAATGAGCTTAAGATTATCCATCTTTCTTCTACCCTAAGCTGGCAGCACTTACCAAGACCCTCCTGCCCATGATGGAGACTATATATTATATACATAACTTCAAGGGACGCAATGGAGGAACCCTTTTCAGGTTTGCTACATAAATTTCTTGGTGAATTTTCCTCAACTTTCACAACTAAATTGAAAACTTCATTTTTTTTCTTTTTCCTTTTTGATTAGGTGCTATCCAGGTCCTTGGAGAGTACTTAGAAAGGTTGGGAACAAATATTTTTGTGTGCACCAGCAGGAAACAATGCCATCTCTGAAGGAAGTTGCCTTGGATATTCTTCCTGCAGCTTGAGAAACCCGTAGCATCCCATCACATATCTATCCGTTGTAGCCTGATGTGGATATGACAGTGAAACATCCTAGCCAGTAAATGCTTGATAAATCAAAATCTTTCATGGAAGAAAACAGTTAAAAAACTTCATTTTGCAGGCAAATAACAGCACCCTCTAACTACCCGACTAATAATTAGATAAACATAAATCATTCAGAACCAGGACTCTCTTTCTTCTTCTGCCCAAACCACTCTGTCCCTATAATGCCATAACCCTTAAAAAGTTAGAGACCCAAATCCTAAGATGGCTGCAGAAATCCTGGTTGTTACAGGACCTGGCCAGGGTCACCTCCGCCCTTCCATGGACCTGGCCAGGGTCACCTCTCCTCTCGAGGCTACCAGGCTACCCTCATCAGCCCCTCCTCTCTCTCCTCTTCCATCCCCACCTCTTTCTGCCACAAAACCACTCCCATCGTCTCCCCCGCCCCTATCATACCCGGATGCAATCGGATCCAGCAGCCAGCTGGCCAGGACCTCGAGGCCCACTTGGAAAACCGCTCCCAAGTCCCAAACTTACCCCGACCTCTATGCGCTATTGTTGATTTCCAAATGGGCTGGACAAAGGCCCATTTCTGGAAATTTAACATCCCAATAATTGGGCTCTTCACCTACGGCCTTTGTGCTGCCACCATGGAGTGGGGTACCTGGATGGCCAAAGCGGGAGACATCAGGCCAGGCGAGACCCTTTTAATCTCCGGGTTACCCGAAGGAATGGGCCTTATATATTCGGATCTTAAAAGAAAACCTTTGGATCGCCACACGGCGGTGAACCACCGGTGGGAGGTCCTCCGAAACCGGGAGACGAGCCCCCGTGGGTCCCTGCAATCGAGGGATCAATAGCTTTGATGTTCAACACGTGTGATGATATAGAACGTCCTTTTCTTAACTACATGTCTGATCATACCAAAAACTGGCACACGGATAAGTACTGGAACTCTCCGTCCGGTTCGCTGAGTAGCGACGGACACGGTGCTGCAGTTAAGGAACATAACCGCCAATAGAAGGAGAGCGAAAGTGAAGTAATCCAATGGTTGGACAAGAAGCCACGCGGATCAGTTCTATTCGTGGCATTTGGCAGCGAAGTCGGTCCCACTAAAGATGAATACGCGCAATTAGCCCGAAGCATTAGAAGACTCAACCCGGCCATTCGTTTGGGTCATACAGTCAGGTCGGGTTACAAACCCAACGGGTTGGATACCAAAGTGGGCGATCGAGGTTTGATAATATGCGGATGGGCACCACAAATTCCGATACTGAGCCACGAGTCAGCGGGTGGATTTATATCTCATTGCGGGTGGAACTCAACGATGGAAGCAATAGGACGTGGGGTCCGGATTTTGGCGTGGCCCATCAGAGGGGACCAACACTGCAATGCCAAGCTGGTGGTGAGTCAACTCAAGGTGGGAATTAGAGTGGCAGATGATTCATCAGAGATGGTCAAGAAAGATGATATAATCAAGGGAGTCGAGATGCTGATGGGAGATGAAGAAATGGGTAATCGAGTGTTTGCGTTGAGAGAAAATTTTATTCATGGTTTTCCGGCTAGTTCGGAGGCTGCATTGGATGCTTTTAAGGATTTTATTAGCCAGAAAGCAGGTTAAAATAATGTGTATGAATATGATGAGCATTTGTTCTTGTGGATGGTCATTGATACTAGAGTTGAATAAGTTATAACCGAATGGCTTAAAAGAAAACCTATCGGCATTACTTAAAATTGTCATCATGATTGCAAACTTCCTGTATGGATTAAGAATTGCATGTCTTCTTTCTAAAGCACACGTAAGGGGATGTAGGAGTGGCATAGATCTCAATTGACAGGGAAAATTTTTGTTTTGCCGACCACACGATTCCTTAACAAAGTAAACAATTTGAACGCGGTAAAATCATTACGCGTACTGGTGCTGGCTTGGCTGCACCGGCCTGATCTCAACTCCCTTAACCCTTATCCTTAGCTTGTTGACTCTGATCCGTGGAGAAATTAATTGATACTGGAACTCCTATGTAGATGCTTAACCTGAAAGTTTCTGCCCCCGCATTTTATATCATCTTTAACCAAAAACGAATCTCTTAGCACAGAATGTTCCAGATTATCCATCTTCAGTTCTAGTCTTGGGTATGATGAACCATGACTTCTGTAGTTTTCATACCAAACGGTCAAACTTCTCTCCTCACCTACCAGTAAAAACCTTACTCTCTAAGCATTCATCTCAACCTTACTTTTCCTGTTCTATAAATTGGGTGAATCAACCGAGTAGTTGCCATATATTGCAAGCATCAACCAAGCCAAAGGAATTGCGAAAGATATGTCGAGTGAAAGCCAGATATGGGTAGTTCCATTCTTTGGGCAAGGCCATCTGTTCCCATGCATGGAACTATGCAAGCACATTGCCTCGCGCGGTTTTAAAACAACCTTCATCATTTCCTCTAATCTCTCTTCCTCTGTACCTTCCTCCTTCCAGGAGCATCCTCTCATTGAAGTTACCCAAATACCTTCTTCGCCGCTGTCTCCACCAGAGCCCAGTTCCAATCCTCCCAACCATCCCCATAACCACCACTCAGATTTAGCTCCAGGCATTGAAAAGCTGCTTGAGAATGCCTCCCGACCTGCTTGTGCCGTAATTGATATAATGATGGATTGGACAGGAGATACTTTCAAGAAATTCAAGATTCCAACAATTGGGTTTTTCACGTCAGGTGCATGTTCTGCTGCTTTGGAGTATGCCATGTGGAAGGCTCGCGTAGTGGATATCAAGCCTGGAGAGACCCGTTTGCTTCCTGGCTTGCCTGAAGAAATGGCTTTGACAGATTCCGATCTTAAACATGGCCCACCACCTGGACCACCGCCACCTGGGCATGGCGGCTTCGGCTTCTCACGTGGACCTCCAGGACCACCACCACCGGGGCTTGGCGGCTTCGGCTTCCGGCGTGGACCAACAGGACCACCACCACAGGGGCATGGCTTTTGCCCTGGGCCTCCAGGAGGGCCCGGTCAGCAGAAAGTGGGTCCACCCCAACCAGGTGGACAGCCACCCTGGATGGAAGCTGCCAATGACTCGGTTGCATTGATGCTAAACAGTTGCAACGATCTTGAGGGTCCATTTCTTGATTATTTAGGGAACCAAATAGGGAAACCAGTTTGGGGTGTCGGCCCACTACTGCCCCAGCAGTTCTGGAAATCGTCCGATTCATTGCTGCATGATCGTGAAATCCGAGCCAACAAACAGTCCAACGTGACGGAGGATGAAGTGATGGAATGGTTAGACTCAAAGCCTCGTGGATCAGTGCTGTACGTGTCTTTTGGCAGTGAAGTTGCTCCCACCAAGCAAGAATTCGAGCAATTGGCTGATGCATTAGAAGCATCAAACAGACCATTCATTTGGGTAATCCAACATGGATCAGGCAGACCCGGTCCGCCACCTGGACCACCTCAGTTCTTAGGAAACCAACCTGGTTCTTGTGATTCACACTTTGAAGAAGAGAGTTACTTCCCTCATGGTTTGGACCAAAAGGTTGGTAAAAGAGGTCTGATCATCCACGGATGGGCACCCCAGTTGTTGATTCTAAGTCATCCATCAACGGCAGGGTTTCTCTCACATTGTGGATGGAATTCTACGGTGGAAGCTATCGGACGTGGGGTACCATTGTTGGCATGGCCTATCAGGGGTGACCAGCACTACAATGCCAAATTGGTGGTGAATCATCTGAAAGTGGGGTGCATGATTTTTGACCATCTATCACAGCAGATGATCAAGAAGGATGACATAACCAAGGGGATTGAGAAGCTAATGGGAAATGAAGAGATCAAAAAGCAAGCTGTGATGCTTAGCTCTAAAGTTCATCGTGGTTTCCCGCCGAGTTCAGCTGCTTCTTTGGATGCTTTCAAGGATTTTATTTTGTAATTTCCCCTTATTTTTTGCTGGGGATTGTTTGAAAGGAATATTGTACTGTGGAGCCAGACAGACATATGATCTTCACGAAATAATTTAGCAAATACTTCACTAAGATATCTTTGGGGTATTTTTTTTCCTGGTTACTTAGATTTTCAATTCAATTCTACTTTCTTTCATTTTCTCGTTAGAAACGACTAGTGCTCTATGTAACAAAAACAAATTTGGTTCTCCAACGATAATTCCTTGAAATCGTCACCGACCTGAAATGTTGACAAGTGGGAAGCATCCATTTAGCATTCGAAAGTTCCAAAGATGCCAAAGTAACATGTTCTTATCGTGTCACGTTTGCACCAATCGGTTATGATTCTCTTGGATTTGATAGGGACTACCATCGTTTCAACAAAAAGAAACCTGACACAATCCTTTCGTCTCGATTGTGATGCTGAACACACTTAAACCTGACACAACCTTCTAATTACGATTCTTCTGTGTCCTTCCCTTATGATATATGCAATAGTTAACAGCCAGCCAAAGATTTATAACTAGACGGAGCTTGGCGCATTAAAATTTTTCATTTTTTTCCTTTTCACTACTTTTGCTGAAATTTCCATTTGGAAAAAGGGATGACATATTTTTCTGTGAATGTTAAATGACAGATAAAAAGGTGAATGAAAATATGAATATCTGAAGAAATGAGATGCGTATACGATCAGCTGTTGGTCAAAACAAATCAGGATGGATCCGCGTCCAGCTTTGGAACTATGGCAGACGATAGCTCTATATGTGAAACACGGACGGCACCAATTAGCCGCTCTGGCAGCTCATCTGTTGTATTTGCCTAAGGGGAAGGGAAACATGCAACCAATTTTAAGCTAACATATACAAGTCAATCTGCAGCCTACTAAAAATAGTGTAAGAAAATTCGCACCTGCACAAGGAAAGCCATGTCAACCACCAACGTTGTAATTACACCAATGACAAGACCCAAAACGCCATTAGCAACAGTGGAAGAACCTATGTCAATATCAACCTGCAGATAAATAAACGAGTAAACCCATATTAATCACATCATCCAAGTTAGTTAAGGCTTACATTCAAGAATCCAGGAATATCATAAGAATCTTACTTCTAAATACTTGGCACCACGAATATAGTTGCAATCAACTGCTTTTCCCAACAAACAAGGGGTGCTCCCAACACTCTGTCGCACAATCCAAGAGCCCTGCAAGATTCAATGAGAACAATTCAAGAAGATTAAATTTCAAAGGATGCAGTAAATGAAACAAGAATTAAGACAAGGACTGACTCCTTGCACCTTTTTTTAACAACATTAACGTCACTGGAGATAATATTTAATATATTATTAATTAAATGGACAATTTTCACCCACAGATTTCCATTTACATACCAATTCATGCATGATGGCTTGCTCGCGTGACAATACACGTCAAACGTGTAATATGGACTTTGACAGACTAATTAAAAACATATGACAAATTATTAAGACACAATTACAACCTGTCTCAAACATCTCGACTTAAGCATTAATCTGAACACAATGGAGAAAGATAGATACCTTTGGGACTGATGGAATAAGCTTCAGCCTACTATTGCGGAATTCATCATCACCATCAACAAACCGATGCAAAAGGGTTCCGGGTACTAATTCCCTTGTCACAAAATAGAATACCATACTATAGTGTGTTGAGCCAGGAACCTGGAAGAAAAACAACATAATCCACTCAACCTCCTGATCCATCAATTTAACATACAAGAGTACCTGCATTATGTAGACTTACTTGAAAATTAAAGACCAAAGAGAAAAGCCCCTTCTCTGAAGCAACCTACAAAGACAATAGCAAAGGGGATCAAATACCTGTAAATATATACTCCGTAAAGGAATTAACAACAGATTTTCTACATCAATAAAGTTGATAGTGACAATCCATGAAAAACTTAATCAGGATGTGCTTGGGCTCTTAGGAGAAGGATCGATGAACCTTCAGTCCTGATCCAACAACAAACCAACCAAAGAAACTTGTTCAAGGCAGAGCATAGTTCTTATAATACATAACTATACCAGATATATCAGCCTAGCATACTTGGTTATCAGTTCATTCATTCAACGGACAGGTTATAAGTTTAATGAGATCCCAATCTCCCATGTTTATTAAAATGTTCACCATGGTTCCTAATAAAGGCTTAGATAATATTGCCAACACAGAGAAGCCATGCATAGCAAATGGAACAGGAGCCACTTAATATACAAACCAGATACTAACAAACAACTTTCGAAAGAAATGGAATACAGTTTTCTAAAGTGAAGCAGAACAGTACAGAGGCAAATAAAGTTAAAAAGGTAACTTCTCATACTCACTTGAGCTGCACAGCCTTGACGCCTAGCAACATGATCTATTCTTTTTGTGTCTTTAAACCAATCAACAGCAACAAGATCCATTAAATGCTTCCCTGCAGGAATCTTCATTGCATATAGGGGAAAAAAAGCAATAAAACAAAACAAAGACATAAGGTACTGATTAAAAAAAGTGAAAAATGATTAAAAGAAACAAGCACAAGAACGGGAACCTTTGTTTTGTCGTAACAAAAATGCTTGCTACGGACTCTGAAATTGTTACCATCCGATATTCTCCAACAGTCACGAGAATTATCACGGTCATCACGTCGTAGATTACCAGAAAAGCATGACAAATCAATTTTCTCAATAGGCTCTTCTTCCAGGGCTTTAATTCAATTAAAAAAAAATTGTACATTTGAGATGAAAAGTCAGTCCCAAAAATTAAAAACCAGATCTAATTAAATCAAAACAAACCAATATAACATGATTATGACCCACCTGTTCTCTTGACATCATTGTCACTTTTTGTTGCATATGCCTGAAAATTTTAGGGAAATAAGAAACCCATGGTTAAAAACAAGTTGAACAAAAAGGAGATGAGATAATGGTAAGATAAAACCTCTTGCTCTGCATCAGGCATTTGTTCTTCATCCTCATCAGAGTATTCATCTATCATCACAGAGTTTCTGCTTGCGGCATTTATTTGATCAAGAGAAGGGGCAGACTGAACAGATAAGTCATCTATCTTTTGAGTCTTCTTTGAAGAAACTGAAGATGAGGCCATATTGACCATAACTGGGATTCGAGGAGGAGCACCCCTTTCATCAGTTTGAGCAAACCATTCACGCAGTCCTGTTGTAAGAGGTAAACGAAAATTTTCAATAAAGGTAGATGAATAGAGATTGAAACAAACATGATGAGGTAATGAAGTCATATTTATTAACACCCCCCCACACCATTATTTCGTATTTTCTTCTTCAAGCTGTTTATTTGGACAAGGGTGGGATGTCAAGAATCAGACCAGACTGGTATCACAACAAAAAGATGTATTCTTTTTTTCTTTATGTTGATTGAAATAGTGACAACAAAGAACAGAAATAACTTTAAAAGATTGACAGCAGATGCAGCCAAATAAAGTTGCTCACATGTTTTGAATATCCTTGTAACATATTCACAACATTTCATTTCTTTTAACCATACACTACACAATTTACCAAGTTAAAAGTATCTCAACCTTCACCAGAGCTGCATAAGGAATTCTTTCAAATTCATAAACTCCAAACAACAGAGATTAAAAAACCAGTTACAACAAAATACAAAAAAGAACTACTATAGGTTTCTTTCCTGCATGCCATAATGTTCAAACTGTCCCCAGGTGTCCAATGCTTAAAACTTGAACTCTTAACTTGGAGGTCTTAGGGCTGAATCTTGGGAAGGGGGTTAGGATTTTATGGGATGGGAAAGGGCTACCTCTCATTGTGTAGCCCAAGCCCAATGGGCTTTTATATGTACCCAGAAACAAAAAAAAAAAAGAAGCATTGACACTGAAACTAAGTAGCATGCCCTACCCCACCCCTGAACATTTTCCCCAGTCTTCCCTTCCTGATATTAAAAAAGAGGAAAATGAAAAATTAGAAGTAAACCATGGAAACATGCAAAAAAAATCCTATCTTTCAATGTGGTATCAAATTTTCCAGAACATTGCAAATTTTTAACATGCAAAATACAGAAAAAGAACTCACCAGCAACACTATTTAACATCTGAAGAAGACAGTGTTGCTGAAACGATGAAATATAACCCACACCCCATCCTTTCAAATCAATCTGCATGAGGTGCTGCACCTGTGTTCTAGGCTTCCCATTTCGAGATTTCAGAGGGGAAATGTTGAACCCTCCACCTGCGAAAAGTAGTTACAGAGCATGCAATATAACTCCAAATTAAATACTGATCTTCAAATTCTCAGCACAACCAAGGAATTCACATAGAGCTTACTCTCAACATGAGCCCGTACATATCCTGGTTGTGGGCCACAATTCTCATGCTCCCTAGAACGAAATAATACAACTGCACAATAACCAAAACAAGAAAAAAGGGAAATTTTCTCAAACTAGAAATTTAAGCAGATAGTTAAATATATTAGTAGATCTGCAAAAGACTTACCGTAACTTCCATCATCATTTCGGCGCCAATAACGCACATAGCAAAGGTCACGGGGCCAAACAATCCTGCAACAACATGGAACCATCATGAAAAATTGCCCATACTTCGTTAAGGAATAAGAACCAAACCTTTCACTGAAAACTGACGTAGAATTTTTCTACAAGATCTCATAAATAATGAAGAGAACAAAGTTCTCATAAACCTAGGATAATTGTAATAGAAATTCAAAAGTTCCTTCTGGAAATTATTCTTTGTAGCTGAAAACATTTAGTGTAGGTACATATATACATATGAGTATCATATAGAGGTTTCTGAGGAAGAAATTTAAGAGGCAAAAACCATTAACTCTTTACAATTTAATTGACAGCCCATCCAACATTACCAGTCAATACTTCTGTAAAATATCAAAAGTTAGAGCAACAACCATGATACAAAAAGATTCAATACTTTGATTCTTGCAAACACTAGTACATTCTCATCTATCTCCGTCTCTGGCTCTCAGCGTCTTTTATCTTCTGTTTCCAACTTGTTCAGTTTCTCTTTTTTTTTTTTTTTGTTCCTTATGTTTGATAGAATGAACTGTCATTTTTCCTCATTCCTTCTTCTGGTGCTTACCTGCATGGATCCTGCATACTAGGCTTAACTTTTTCCATTTTTGGCATTTTCTAAATGCTAGGAAAATATAGTCAACAATCAAAGTTTGACTCACATCAAAGAAATATTGCTAAAAAGAGGTTGACAAGCTCAGATTTGTGTTGCCTAACAATTTTCATTCCCAAAATGCAACAAACTATGCTGGTACTGCTTTAAAAGATAAATATTTAAGACAATGAAAGCATATACATGAATGATTTAAATTCAAGAGAAAGTATTACATAGGGAACCAGTCCAACTGAAGCCTGTGATAAAGTATGGCTGTATGTCCATCTACCTCTTCAACCAAACTACCATACTGAAAACTACAATCCCACCTGCAGAAGGTAAAAAACATAAAAATTTAAAACGGAAAGTTCCCCAAAGATTTTAATGAAATAACTTTTCTACTTAGTCCCTCAAATAATGTGGACATATAAATGTGCTAACGTCTGCAAACGTGTGTGCACATGCAAACATAGGTATGCATTTTTGTAGCATACATCAAAAAGAATATTTATTTTAATTGAAAAAATAGAAAACTTACTCAAATCGTGTTCCATCCATGCTCATTACAAGACCAAATATTTCTTCACAAGTAGCTTCCACAACACCTACAGCCTTCATTGCCCTACTACAGCTCCTTGGCTAAATTAAGGAAAACATAAGTGATGGTTACCACTCAAAACATTTTGATGCACTGAAAAAATAATATAAAAGTTCATGTCCTGGGATAAAGCAAGCAAAGAAACAGTTCCATACAAGGTAATCAACTTCAAGAAGCTCTTCAAAAATGCGCAGGCCTGTCATCATATCAAAGAAAAGGTTCGGGTTCAGAATAATTCATCAATGCCACTGCAATATGGTGGTAATTAAATACATTTCCATTTCAAACTACTTTTCAACATTTCCGTCCCTGGATTGAACTTTAAAGCCAATAAAATGGAATGCACTATGTAGAGCTAACCATTTTGACACTGAAGGAGGCGCCAATGCTTTCTAGAAAATGCCTGGTTGTTGGCATTTTGATTTGATAATTCCGAGCCAAATTCCCGTGTCCAGTCTAATACTGAATCTGGAAGACCTGACATTTCAATAAAGATATTGAGATTCTGATAATTGAACTAAATAGTGTACAGTAGATGAGAAAAGGAAACTGGATGAGAACCATTTCCAATTGTTGTTCTCCTAAGCAAATTTGGATGAGCATCGTCTTCATCCTCCTGGGCACTGAACCTTAAAAAAAAAATTTAGAAATTAAAAGTTTGGCCAATGATCACTTGCCTTACCATTACCTCTAAACAAAACAAAAAAAATCCCAGAAAAATGCCAACAACTGATAAGAATCAAGGTACATTAATTCATTTTCAATTGACAATCAATTGTGAACAGGAGTTTCGCATAAATGAACTGTGCTTTACACAGCTTGTCACGAAACTTAACAACGAGCACGGCAAATTATGAATTCAACCAGCAATAATGCAAGGATACTCTACACCACTAGATATTCATCTATAACAAGCAGATTAGCTGCAAGGCTTGGGCTAAAATTGAGAATATCAAAATGTATAACTGTTACAACCATGAAATATTTATATAATTTATGTGTGCTATATTTTACAAGTTGCAACACATAGGAAGATGTAAGATATGTACAAATCTCACAAAACATAAGACCTCTATTTTATCACAGCTAATTCCTCTAACCTTCCCCCACTTATTTATGACAGTGACTCTCTCTACCCACGAGGCCATGATCCAAAGACTTCAAGGCACCCAAGTAGCTTGACTTAAGCCCACATAAGATAGCCACCTGACGCACCACTAGCATAACATAGGGTCACTTTTATCAACATAACATAACCAACAGCAAATAGAAAATTAATGACGAATAGGCACTTACTGACTTTCATGGTCCGATGAAGAATTAGTCCTCCCATTATCCATCCCAGATTTATATTCAAAAGAAACATATTTGTTTCCATTTGCAATTTGTGACTCTTGATGCTGCATATGTTAATAATGAAACTAGGCAATTAAAAAAATCTGCTGGAACAAATTAATACATAGATGCAATATATTCAGTTCACTGAAAAAATTTTGACCCTAAACCTATTGCAGCAGAAGTTGATAGGGGAGTACCAACTTCACAAAACAAAACTAAAACAGAAAGCAGGAAATAAGCTACGGACTCTGAGACACACCTCAATTACAGACTCAATTTTTTCCTTCCAGATTAGGGCTTCCTGAATGTTGAATGCTGCCATCTAGAAAGAAGAACACAGACATGGTTTAATCTTTTGCTCCCAATATTCAATAGCATTAGATTTTGCAACTAGATCTACAGGACACAACAATTGTAAAGAGAAATACAGGCACCACAAGGACTCATAGTAAATCCAAAACATGTGTCCATTATGCTGGCACAAGGGCAGAGAAACACAACAGATAATCACTAAGTTTTACAACAGATATCACTCTAGTTCCACCATAATACTTTTTCAGTCACCATGTAGTGATAAAATTCAAGTCATGACCTCATAAAAATAAGATTAACTCGATTAGGAATAGAACATAATGGTCAAGAGCAAACAAAGTGGACTCCAAGTGTATGTGTACGTGGTAAAACCGAGTGCAACACCAATCTACCCTAATGTGACTTAGGTTCTTAAGCATAGAACTGGCAAAACCACCATTCATTTGTCAAAGTATAAGTAATTCGCTGATGGGGTTCCATCCCTACCCTCCTGGGGGCAACTAAGTAAAAAGATGAAATTACAGAAAAGATGCCAAAAACATGTTTCAATTTCTCACATCAAATAACGAACCAAGCAACCTCTGGTTATTAAGCATCAAAGAATACATATTCATATATTATTTCCATAAGATAAAATAAAAACAACAAACCGTGATTCTGTGGTACTTCTCTTTCTTGTTGTAAACAGACAAAACATAAACCATCTGCAAAACATAAGCCATAAGTTAAAATGGAGTATAGATGAGCGTTCTATCTAAAGGAATACATTTTATTATGTACCAGAGTATAACTGCTAATGGGACATTACACTTGTATCAGAATTACATGAACAGTAACACATAAAACTGAGACAAAAGCAAGAGTATGAATGAGTCTCTTGATGAAAGAAACGGCAAGGCAACAGTAAAATATAAAGAAGCGAAGTCTAAACATTACAATTTGTCAATAAGGAGACTCCCAAATCACTATAAGGCAATAATAGAAAGCACACAGTAATTATTAGCAAGAGACATGACTAATTATTGGTGACCTGATGATTCACGATTACGAATGCTTACATGCATATGTAAAGGTATACAGACATATGTACATATATGTAAATCTATCTATGTATATAATGTTGGACAGTCTCAGACTCTCAGCTACCAACAACAATTGCAGGCATCATGACCAAGTTTGTAATCAGGGTTTCACTTTCAATCTTTAGCTTAAAATGTAAAAAATTAAAAATCATTCCACCTGCGGCGCCAACTAACAAACAGCACATATGCTCATTTTTTATATACTATATATCTTTAAACAAGACCATAATAGATTATTGAAGTTCAATAGCTTTTGTTCATAATGTACCATCAACATAACTTCTAAGCACTATCATTACCATTATAATATCGACAGGCTAAAATAGTATACAGGCAAATGAATGAATACACACACACACACACGCACAAAGAAACAACAACTCACATGTCCATGGTGAGTCTTCAAGCCTCGATCCTCCACCCTACAATTTCCGTCCATCAACAAGGTCTTGATTGGAACCTAAATTTACAAAACACAAAAAACTCAAACTCTAAACAGCAGTGCATTTAGTTATAAGCTGTGCTCATTGCACAAAAGCTAAATGTCAAAAGAAAGACAAATATTCTTAAAAAAAATAAAATAAAAATTCCTCTGCTCTCTTATCCTAAACAGCAAGAATCCACAGCTATCAGACACCTTTGTCAACAAGATGCTCCTCCTTTTTTATTAAAAGCACAGCATACCAACCGTAAAAGTTCCATTACCAAAAAAAAAAAGATTAAATCAAACCGAATTGCACATAACTTAACATTCTAAAAGCAACTTTTCTCTCTTCTCCGATCCGAAAAAAAAAAGAAGCAACTTAACCTTTAAAAAAACCTATAAAACACTTCAACAACATGTTTAATTTAAGAATCTAAGCAATGCCTAAACAAAATTAAGAATTCTAAAACAAAATAATTAAAGACCTGGTTATCTTGTGGCTTTCTCTTGTAGTAAGCCAGAACCCGAGTTTCAAGCACGAAATATCGCATGTGTATGAAGGATCGCCCGATCTTCCTTCTCCCATATCTCACCATCCATCCTTCGTACACTACCTTCGACATTTCTGCCCTCTCAAAATCCACCAACAACAACCGAATTTTCCAACTTAATATGCCAAAATCGGAAGCTTAGATCGTAATCTTTGCTTCCGCCAGATCACTGCCGCCTATGTCATTTGATCTCTCATCGTCGAAATCGAGAAATCGGCGAATCGATGATTCCTAATTCTCATTTCTTGAAGAGTGCCGAGAATTCGAATTCCACATTGCGGTGAAACCGAGAATCGCAAAAGCGAAATTTGACTTTGGGTACTACGATGAAGAGATTAGAAAAGAAATAGGCGGCAATAAAAACAAGAAAACAACAAAAAAAGAGAGAGCGAGAGAAAGAGCCAAGAGCAAGCAGGATCCAGTGAGTTACAGAGGAAAATTGAATTCTACATAGAAGAAGAAAATAGAGAGAGTATTTTGACAGAGAAAAGTGGAATAATCAATTTTTTTTATTAATAGTATTACTTATAAAAGTAAAAGAAAGGAAAATAAAACTTAAAAAAAAGAATACTAGTATTTTTATTTCCTCGCTAATTTTGGAAAAAGGGGAAATCTAGGGAGATATCAGACGAGGCGGTGGTGGTGGTGGTTGGGTGTGGCGGGAGCGGCGATGGTGGGGGAATTCCGACGATGCAAATAAGAGGGAGGAGTGATGAAAACGACGGTGCAATTGAGGAAAGGTTCCGACGAACGGCTTTGAGAAATCCCACGTAAGTGAAAGAAAAGGGGGAGGGCGCACGAGGACGAAGCCACGTGGCTGATTATGATTTGGCAAGTGGGGTATGAGGTATCTTTAGAAGCGTGACGCCCTGCCGAATTTTGAAATACGGGGGAGGGGGCTGACTTCCAAGTTTTCTTTGGGCTGCATCCGAGCATATGATTAAGGAAATGGAAATGTTTTTGGCCCCAGGTAAAGGTGTTAAATTACAATGGGAGCCCTACCTCCTAAGCCCGATGTGGCGTAAACGACCTCTGGGCCGTTTGGTATTTCACCTTAAAGTAAATTTGGCCCCGTGTCAGCATATAAATTTGACGGACAAAATGATCATTCACGCGTTACCAAGAACGTGCAAACTTGTCTTTCTTCTATAAAGATTTTCTCTTTTATTTTTTGCCATTTCTATCTTTAAATTTCTATTTTTTTTCAAAAATTGTTAAAAATAATATATATTAAACAATAAAAGGACAAGATATGATTGTATACACATCTTATTATTATTTTCTTTCCAAAATAGTTGATGTGATTTTAAGCAAATATGGCAAACTTGAATTTAACAAGTAACATCAAATCTATACATTATTTATCCACTTGTTTGTCCTTTTTGTTTACCTTCATTTTTATTGCATTCATAATTCCCACTTTTTTTAACTTCCATACATTAATTAAAACAAAATAAATGTGAAAACATCAATGTTTAATTTAATTTTAAAACCATTAAAAAAATAGCATTCATATATTTTTGTGATACATAGAAGTTACATGATTTATCTTCAAATTATGTGTACGGTGGCAATGAGCAAACAATTAATTCAATTAAATACAAATTATCTGAATGTCATATAAATATTAATCAAATCGATTATAAATCAAGTACTAAAAGATTAATTCATTAATCAAATAAGATCAATTAATTCGACCCATAATTGAATTAATTTAAATTTTTGAACTCAAATGAAATTTTTTAAATTTCATTTTTTTATATTAATTAGAAAGTAATTATAAAATCTTAATATATATATATGAAAATACACTAATGATATATGTATAATCCTAAATCGATTAATTTGATTAATCAAAAAATATTCTTAAAATCGAAACCGACAAAATTAATCATTTTAATTGCCTTTACTTCCAAGTAATTAAAACATCGAATTAAACAAACCGAATTACCCCATTGCTTAGAATAAAAGTTAGCATGAAAGTGGTAATTAACAAGGAAATTCTTTCATTTATTTCATTAGAGTGATACTTTTATCGCAATGATCAACAACGTCTCCACTCCCCATTCCTCTGTTAAGACTGGAAAGCTAAATAAGATTAAGGAAATTACATTGTTTGATCATAAGAACACGGCGCCTTCTCCCAATCCAAGAACTCATCCATGGTGGGTCGCCGGAGACAACTCGGTAGCCAGCATTCGAGTACAATTTGCGAGCACCAAAGTCATCTTCGTAAGCCCGAAGGACCAGAAACTTGAAACCCCATAAAACCGAGAGCACATCGCAAGCTTTGAGCAAACAGCTAGCGATCTTCCTCCTCCTGCATGTTATCACCGTGATTAACACAGGCCGTGCTGTGCTGCAATTTCACAGAGAAACTAAAGATCTAGCTTTATGTATTGTACCGAAAGCATTTCCAAACGGCAAGCCCAGAGACATAGAGATATTCCTCTGACCCATGGAGGTGTTGAAGGACAGATTCGTCTCTCATCGCCGTGACATCCACGACGCCCACGAGTTTTCGTTGCGATTCAGAAGCATCCGTGGAGGATTCAGCGACTAAACAGGCATACCTGTTAAACATGCTTTCTTTAATTAAAATGAAATTTTCTCCCTGGAATCAAAAGTTTTTACCTGCTTGGAAGTGAGTTCCTCAGTTTGTAGATGAGCGCGGCGAGCACCTCCGCCTGTTAATGGAGCATTAAAACTCAGATTATGTACTAGCAAGGATTTTGAATCTTCCTTTTCTTTTGTCTGTCTAGTTTATATTATCTTTTTTTTCTCTAAATTGTTCCATTAATGATGCAATTTATCATTCTCTTCTACCGGGGAGAATCAAAAGAAATCGCAAGGAAAAAGAGATATGTGAAGCAAGAAGAAAGGGTAAAAAAGAGGAGAAACCTGGAAGAACTGGAAGAAGAAATCGTCAAAGAAGGCCATGGGTTGGTGAAATGCTTCTGCTTGGATTTGGGCAACCTTCCTCATTTCGTCTTGATCCTCCTCCAATCGCCTCACTTTCCACCCATACTCACTCGCCAAATACAAAGGTTGGTCCTTTCCATCTCCCCATCTCCCATGATCGTTTTCCTCTGCATTTCCATCAATCAGCTTCACAGCCGCCTTAGCTGATGATGAGGCCAAAGAAGAAGAAGAAGAAGAAGAAATAGTGCAGCACTGCACCACACGACCATTGAAAGATGTCCCTCTTGCCCTTCTCTTCCCATCGATTTTCCAGCTCCCATGGCGATGATGATCACTGAGTTTAATGCATGCGTGCCTCTGCTGCTGCCGAGGCTCCGTCCACACACTACTCCCTGAAATAAAAGACTGGCTCTGTAGCAAATGAGCCATACATCACTATGTTTCTCTGAATGCGGAAAAAATCATGATGCAATTGGACTTCGGGAGCTTGTCTTTACCACCTCTCTCTCTCTCTCTCTCTCACACACACACACACACTCTAAATTATTTATTATATCTGAAAAACATGTGTTAGAAACTTTAATTTTCTGCGGTCCAAATCCATTGTATAACGTTAATATTTAATTTCCAATCTTTAATTTATTTTTCCGGTGACAGGAAACGAATGCCAGAGGGGCAAAGAGGAGAAAACAGGGGAAAAACATTTTTAGGTGAAGATAAGACAGGGCGCATAGACATGTGGCTACAGTAACTCGTCAGCTTGGGATCATAATAACATCCGACGTGGCGACTTTTAAGCCTAACACGTGCTTGCACAAAAAAAAATGTGTTCCCTAAATTATTTGCAGATCCGGATCCAAAATAAATGCCGTATTATTATTAGCACTAAAAACGGTTTAAAGATATAAGCCTTTTTTTTCGTTAAAAAATGTTTACTCCATTCTCTCTTTTTTTAATTTTAATTTATTTAATATTAAAATTTGAATTTTTTATAAATTAATATTTAATATAAAGAAAATAAGAATACTAATATGTTTTTAACTTTAGGACAGCAAAGATGATCTTGTTTTCCTAATATAAATCTGGAACGTCACGTGGAAAAAATTAAATACCCTTATTTTGAACCTATAACCTTATAATTAAGGCCGCCTTTATTGGGAGGTGACTTGAGGTTGGCGTTGCCTGCCCTGGCCCCATAAATTATTGGTCAAAGAAAATAATAATAATAATAATAATAATAAAAGCTTTAATTAGGTACTTGGTTCACCAAATGTTTGATTTTATGCTTGCAACGTTTTGAGCATTAGGCTCTTATTTGATTCGTCTGAAGAATTTTGGATTCTCAAATTGTCCAAAATTCTATAATATCAAGAGCAATCTCATACCCGCCTCCCTCTTTGATTATTTTTTTTATAGTGATTAGAAAAAATTAGGGCTTTTTTCGTTAATCTCTTATTCATTGATCAAGTTTTAATTCGTTTTGGATTTAATTTCAAAAATTGAAGATAATATGAACATCTTGTATATAATTAATGTGGTATTTATTTATAAACTCTTTTTTAAGAGAGTGATACATAACTTTCTTTTAAAAAAGTGAGATTTTTTGTGACGCATGTCTATTATTTTATTTTCATAATCTATATTAATTTATAAAGTATTATTCGTTTATAATTTTTATTTTGATTTCTTAAGTTTTACAATTTTATCTTATAAAATATATTTTATAAATAAAAAATAATATAAATATTTAATTTTATTTTAATACATAATAAATACGAGATTCATAATTTTTCTCTATGACTGTGAGCTAAATGAAAAAGGTAGATCAAAGGTTCCTTCAATAATAAACCTAACAGGAGAACAAGACATTTGATCTTTTAGCAGATTTTATTTTAGCATCAATCTTATACGTATCGCAGCCGAACACAAAACGAGAATCTTGTATTCAAGCGTCATGGCCAAACCCCAAGTGGAAACCAAGATTTAATTCCATTGAAAGGCCCACACGTGTTCCACGCCACGATCCAACGGATGTAAACATCAAGGTGGTCCTGTTGGTATGAGAGAGAGTGGGGGGAAGAGCGGGGGCCAAATCAACCAGTCAAACTCCAATATATTTTCTTCTATTAAATTAATTGAATCGGGTAGAATAATAAAAGTTTCATCAACATTGATAATTATTTTTAATGGGTTTTTTTTTTATTTTTTAAATAATATATGGACTACAATATGCAAATAATCATATACATAAACAAATGATGATGGTTCCATGCAATAAGACACATGAAAGAAGAAAAAAATGAAAGAAAAATTGTTGGTGAATGATGAATTGATGATAAGATGATATGATTCGATGATGATCTCCGTCACTTTTCGTGCCGCTGTCTTTCCTACTCTTTTTCAGTCTGTCTGTCCCCCTTCCTTCTCTTTCCTCATATCCCCACTGCCCTCCTCTCTCCTCCACTCTATCTCTGGGTTTTGATTTTTGAGTTTTGATTTTGGTATTTATTTTCTTATATGGAATTCAGTGAATGATTTTCAGTGATATGGAGAAAGCTTTGGAACTCAATCTTGTTCCCTTGGTGTAAGTACTTTCATCTGTTATTTCTGTCTAGTGTTAGCTTCCATGAGTATTTCTTTTTCTCTTTTTTCTTTTTTGAGGTAATCAATTACCCATAAAAGCTTACTTTACAAAAACTTATTTTTTTCATTGCCTTTTTGTATTTTCCCTCTGTAAAACTTTTACCAGTTCAAAGGTTTTGTCTGCATTATGGAGCTTAGACTTTTCAACCGATGTGGATCAGGATCTGTTTTTCTCTCTCTCTTTTTTCATGATTTTCCCTCAGTGATACTAACGATTTCTATTGGGATTTTCCATATTGACTTTTGTGGGTGGTTGGTGTTCCTTCTTGTTTTGGTTTTTTTTTTTGTTCCTGTTCTTAAATACCACAGAAAATGGAATTTTTGACTTCTCAAGGCTGTTCTTTTAAACGAAGACTTTTGATGCAGAACCAACGCTTCCTCAAGTCTTTGTTTTCTAATTTTGTTTGTTTCTTGGGAAAACGCAAGAACAAATTTGCCTCAAGTTCCATTCTTTATGTTGGTTTCAAATTGATTGAATGCAAACATCAGTAACAGTTTGCTGCAGTGCTTTAACTTATAAAGCTTGTTCCTTTGTAGTATGAAAGTCTTTTTTCTTCATTTTTATTTACATTTTTTCTGTTTTTTCTCGTCAGCTAAACAAAGCTTGCACGGAATTTCACCAAACTTTTGTAGTCTAATGCAATAAGGCCGACTTTGTTTTGCTGTCAAAAAGACTGTTTAATCAAGTTATTCAAAGATACATCATTTATCTGAATTCTGAAGTTTACTGTAGAGTTAATCAAATTCAATGTATGAACATTAAAACTGTTTACCCTTTGAAGCGGAAAAGAACATATCTTGGTGTAACAAGAAGGAGAAGAAGAGGTTGCTGGAGTTCATAGCTGCTTGAATCTGAGGCCAAGATAAAAGAGAGAGATAGGTATATCAACAGAGAGATGGGATCTTTCAAGGGTCATGCTTTGCCAGGGACTCTGTTTCTGATGATTGGCGTATGGCACATATGGAGTTGTGTGGTTCGATATGTGTCGAACCCCAAGTCTTTTCAGGTCAGGGTGTGGAACCCAGTTCCTGGTTTTGATGGGAAGTTGAAGTACTTGGAGCTTTATGTTGTAACCATTGGTGCTTTCATTGATTTGTGCATCGAGCTTTTGTATTCGACCCACCTCAAGTTTTTTGTCAATGGAGTCTTGAATCCATCACACTTGAATGATTTTGAGCATTCCGGGATGCTTCTCATGTTTTTCCTCCTAGGTGCCATCGCTCTGCTCTCAGAGAAAACGAGGTTAGTCATGGTCTTTTTTCCAATTGTGGGTGGCCTTCTTTTAGAGAAAATCAATAAGAACTATGGACATCAATCAATAAAGCGATGAAAGAAATTCTCCATGAAATCAGAAACCAGTGAAATGATCATTATTGCTTAAAAAAAAATCGTTCTAGAAATTCTCTTTCTTTTTCTTTGAATGATAGTTGCTGCTAGTTGTTCTTAACTTTGAATTGCCCACAGTTTGTCCCCATTCTTTTCTAGGAAAACACAAGAAAGGAAATAATTTTCAACCCTTTTATTACTTGATCTAAAAGATGCAGAACTTCCATTAAGCTGGACATAGATGAAATTTTCAGGTTTACTTGAGTAGAGTTCACATCAAATCTGAACTTCTTGAGCTTGGCTTCCGATATTAGCAACACAGATAATTACAAAATGCATATATGAGAACTTCTCTGCTTTTCTTGTCTAGTCAATGGAATTTTAGGGGAAAAAAAAATGAAAACCCAGTTTTGTATAGCATGCTTTATGACAGTACATTTTGTGTGAACTAGGCAGTCTCTGGTTTACTTGATAAAATCAGTGATCGACATTTTCATTTGATATTTCATAATGCACACAATGTCTTTAACTCTAGAAACAGAAGTAAGGCAAGATTTTTTTAATCTAGTGCTACTTGCTGAGTTCTGGATTCTAAGTTCTGACCAAAATCATGGGACTGCTGCTTTCTGACTGGGAAAGAGTGTAACCACGTTGGTAATAGAACCATAGGGGATTGGAGGGTTGGAAGTTATGAAGGTTCTATAAGCAGTAGATTCTGAACAGACTGCTAATTAGGTGGCTTCCATTTTATTTTTTTTTTGGATTTTGCGGAATTAATGCATGTTTAGTGCATTGAAGTAAAGTTCATCCCTAACCATAACATGAAAGCTATATTATATGTTGTGTTAAATGCCAGTATTATAATGTTTTTTGTCTGAAATCATTGTTGCTTAATTAGAAAATGTTTACTCCATCTCATATGTACTTTTCCATTTCATATCACCATTTCCTGTTAAATATAGCTAATTTTACAACCATCTTCACTGGAATCTCTTCTTGCTCAGTTTCGTTTCCTTACCACAAGAAGCCCTTTGTCTTATTGCGGCAGCAGCATTCTGTGCAGAGTATCTGCTATTCTACTTTCACTCAACAACTCATAAGGGCCTCGAGGGATACTACCATCTTGTGCTTGTCCTTTTAATAGGACTTTGCATCTTAACCACTGTTGCTGGAGCTCTCTTCCCGAACAGCTTCCCTGTTGATTTGTGTAGTGGAATTGCCATAACTCTCCAAGGGCTCTGGTTCTATCAGACTGCTTTCACCCTCTATGGCCCCATGATGCCTGATGGTTGTCAGCTCAAGTGGAATGCAATCTATTGCCGTTCAACAGATAGTGGGGTCCGAGGCGAGTTGCTTGCTAACTTCCAGCTCTTCTCTCTGGTACTGGGTGTCCTTGTTGCTGTTGTGGGATCATATGGTTTTGCAGCTTCAAGATATGGGAATTCTGATCTTGGAAGCATGCATTCAGTTCAGGACGGATGAGAATGAGATGGAGGCAGGGTATTCAGTCTTAAAATTTTGGATTCAAATTCATTTTAGTCTTCTTGTTCATTATCTTTTAATGGCATTATAGCTGAAGGTAGTAAGTTTAGCTGCTGTTTCACAGGTTTCCGGTCCATATCCTGGGAGAGGTGAACGTGATGGGAAGGACTGTAACTTTAGCAATTGTTAGCATTCATGTATAAGTATAAACAGGAATAATAATGTGATTTACAAGGAGAAAAAAATCAATTACACTTCAATTCAATATTCTTTTTCATGCTGCTGGCTATGGTGACTAAGCTTTGCTATCTCATTTGGATTTTTGAGTATTTTTTGTGAATTTCAGAGAAAAAAATTGCTTGTTTTTGTAATTCATAGGACTTGTGATTTAATATTTGCTTCAGGAGCATAGTCGATCTCAGTGGTTTTGTGGACATTGGTTATTGGATGCTCTGTCTCGATGTGAGACCTGTTGATTAGAATTGCCTTGAGAAGATTTTTGTCTAGAACAACATGTATAGACAATTAGCTACCACTAAAGAAATATGAGCATGTATAACCCCAGTCAACTGCCACCAGAGAAATATTAGCATTGTAATGGATGGTTTTGATTCCTTTTGTGTTTATATTGTTCTTTAATTTATCTAAATTTTGATTTTGAGTATGATCTCGAGATTTAAGGATTAAATCAATACATTCTTTCAGGTCTAAATAATGGGACTCAGAAAACATATGCTCTGTTGTTTATATAGATGCTAATGAAAAGAACACTTACTCCAATCAAAGTTTAGGACCTTCATATAATACTGGTATCAATATGATTTCTATTTTCCCTTTTCTTTCTCTTTGATTTTAAGAGATTTTAAGAGAAATGAAGATAAAAAGTTTTTACTTGTGCGGAATTCCGACAAATATAAGAACGAATAACAAAAGTGGCAACAATTAAATGGAAATTAAGGCTTTGATTTGATTACTTTCAGGACAAGCCGATGGCATTTTGGCAAAGTGCTTCATCCATGCACCCCAAAAAGAAAATGGAAAGAAAGAAAAATAACAACAGGGTCAGTCCCTGCAATTATAGAAATCCAAGGCATATATTGCACATGGGTTTGCATTTATAACATAGAGAAATAGAGACTTTTTTTCTTTAAAAGTCAAATACTAAAGCAGTCTAACTTATTACTTATGCATCATCCCTAAAGTTAAAATCTTTCTCGTTCTGGGGATCTCCAAACCTCACACTTTTAGTAGGGGACTATGATGGATTCTATCAGCTCTTGCAGTGGAGCTAGCTCTTTCTTGTCGATCAGCCCGAATTCCTGCAGATGGAAACATATCGAAGCAAATTATTCTAACCACTTTCTTCTCAACTATGCTACATTATAAACCGAACATTTCAGAGATTAAAACCGTTTCAACCCTTACCATATTGCAGGGAAGAGAATAAAAAGATTAATCATCAAGCAGAAGAAGACTTACACAAGTAAACAGTATGAAATGCTTGAAGCATGTGTTCAAATGGGCTTCCTCCTTAAGGCTCACAATTTTCTGAAAGTGAGAGTGATAGATGTGCGCATACACGCGGAACAGTCTTTTGAATATTGTCTTCACGACCTCCTTGAAGTTCGGTGGAAATGGTGCACCTGGCAAATTTGAGTTATGCGATTAAATTAAAGGATGTATTTAGCACAGATACAAGATAGACTAATTACCTTTCCTTTTGGACAAGTATAAATATTAGAAATAAGTCAATCATCACTGTTGTCATCATATACAGATAAACGACTATCTTTCTCTAGATTAAAGGCATGTCAGACCTCATCACAAAGAATTAAAGACGATGAAGCACATGACTGATGAAGATTTTACCAAGCTTTTGAGGAAATATGGATTCATCATCAAGCTGTACTTCGATCCAGTCCATTAGATATTCAACATATTTTGGAGCAGAAACCTCAATAGGTTTCTTGATTTGCACACCATCTGCCCATCTATATTCATACCTGTAAAGTTTTGTAAGACAGCAAATAATCAACTCCAGAAAACCCAAGATATACAATTTGAACTCTTTTTAAAAATGAGTACTTTAGACTAAATAAAGGTGAGTATAGAATTACTAAATTGATTGATCAGAAAGTGCAAGGTACAAGAACCGAACATGGAAGCAAAAAATTTACAGTATTTGGGGAGAAAGAGGTCCAAGTTTCAAAGTTACAACTTGCAAGAGTTTTAATTATTGGACAGAAAGTAAACCATACATCAAATGACTACAAGGATTTTGAGTCTTGGAACAATTCTAGCTACAAAGTCCTCCACAGACCTCTGAAAATTTAAGGCAAAATTCAATATATTGCAAAAGGCTAAGGCCAATTAGTAAGAATAAAAAAAATCTCACCACAAACTAGAAAATGATGGAATCAATGAAAACATGGTGCACAGTCTCACTCCCGCCCCGCAATCAGACAAGATCACAAGATTATATTGAATATTCTGAATTCAAAATTCAATAACATTTGACAAGATATATTTTAAAAAAAATAAATTAATGCAATTATCATGTATCTTTCAAATAATTAAAAAGGCTAAATTTAAGTCAAGGGAGTCCCCATATAACCTGATCCTTAAAGACTTAACGCATCCATCATTTGAGAGAAATGCTTTTAATACCATCAACAAATGCAAACATGACAGAGGCCATATGGCACGACGAAATATTAAATTTAGGATTTTTATAACTAATTATCAAAAAGGGAAAAAGACTCTGATTTGATATGTCATACTTAGGGCCTGCAGTCATCGTAGGACAGTTCTCAGGAGTACAAAACTCTGTGAGTGTACCATAGAGCAGATTCACCTGATTGAAGAAATCCACAGCTGAAAAAGATTCAACAATTAGGATTCAGCAATGAGCTTCAAATCTAGAAATTGGGAATAAAATTTACTAAAACGTTTTATCAAAAATCAGCTAATGAAAGGAATACAAATAAATTAGCAGTCACAACAGTAAAGTAACAGCATGGCCATACTAAAGTCAGATATTCATGGATAAATTATATGCCCAGTTTTTCACAAATATATAGAAGGATTTATTCAGAATTGTGTGCGTGTGTGCGTATGTGCATGCAGGGTGTATGTGAGTAAGAAAGAAAGAGAGGGAGCGAGAGATACTGTTGACTGCAAGCCATTCATTTAAATCCTCCCCAGGAGGTAGCCTTACAGCTTCCCTTAGGTTTCCACTGCCTAGGGTGGCATCAATGTGCTTCTTAAGCTGTGCACCCTGCATTATGGAAAGATTACAATACTATGATGAGAACTGCAAATTCTGCTAAGCCACTTGCATAGCAGAATGAAATCCAGAAGGCATTTTATATAGAGGCACCATAAAGAAGCCAGCTCTCAAGAACTTCAAAAAAGGCTATTCAATTATTGTCAAGTTAAAGCACACAGCAGTACTAACCATGTTTAGACGTAGATCCCCATTTAATAAAAAAATCATCACATGTAGTACGTGTACACACGCCCTCTAACATCCATGGTGGGTCCCACATTTGCGACTGTGGGGCCATCATGTATGTCAGTAGAGCATTGAAATTGTAGTATTTCAATGTTGCCACTGAAATAAGTAAAACACCGTAACGTACAGTGGTTTAGTGAACAAGTGACTTCAAAAGGAATGAAATTTATTAAATAAAAATATGAATGGTCAAATGAGTTCATTTTCTTCTTTTCTTCATAGGTATGGTGAAGTGAATTCTTACTCTACAATGAAATAAATAAGAAGGTTCAGAAAAAATAGCAACCATTATGTAGCTAAGAACCCAAGAAGCAAAACAATCAGCAAATGGCATTAAATCTTGGATTCAGAAGCTTCATTTCTTCATTTGTTTTGCAAACAAAGACAACTTTTCAAGGTCTTTTTTAGGATTTTGGATGCATTAAAACCAACAGATTCAAGCATGCTGGAAGAGTACATATCACATCAAATACTGAAAAGAAGAAGATGAACAATATTAATTATGGTTTCCATTAAAGGAGAAAAAAAAGGAACAAAAGTAACCAACCTTACTTCCTGAAGGTGCACTTTTTTTTGGGCGGAATGTCCGCTGATTTCTGTTTTCAGAGCAATTTGTTATCAGGAAAATCCATCAACTGAAAAGATATACAATTATTTACCAACTATAGTGCCTGACTTGGGAGTGGGTGTCAGAAATATACCCACATCCAACACAAGTTCAAATTCTTCACGAGTTTGTCCATATGTTTAGAGGATCATAAAAGATGCATGTACATTCAAGATATTTCATATATGTACAACATGGTAGGTTAGGATAAAAAGATTCAAAGTAACATAGTTTACAGGAACTCAACATAAGCAAAATATCCAATTGATCTTTTAAAAAATAAAATAAAAGCAAAAGCAAAAGCAAAAGCAAACATGATGTTTTGTTTGTAAGAGGATAAAAAACACAACTTTGATAGATTAACTTTGTGCTGCTTTTTCATGGCTTTAAATAGTGAACAATACTGATTAATTGCACATACATGGACATATATGGCATGATAGAAAGCAGAGGCTCCTATCTTACTGAAAATTACGGAAGATGCAGAGCATATTTGAACCTGATTAATAAAGAGGTTGTTGGCAAATTAATTAGCTTTCCCGTAGACTACATTTGTACATTCCCATTACTTCCGCTCCATTTATCCAATTTCCTAAACTTCATTCCACCACCACAAGTCTCCTAACAATGGCTGCAAATTGTCAATGGACCTAGTTTGCAACTAAGTACTCACTCGATAACAACGCGATGCAAAGCTCAACCTTTTCAGATTTTCACCATCTAATTTTCAAGGTAAAAAACAAATAATTTAGTACATGATCCCTCTTTTGACCTTCCTAACATAGTAATTCACGAAAACCACCCAGGAAGCATAGCTTTTAATCATAGTTCAAACACCGAACCAACTAATGATAAAGCAATCAGAACAAATCATTAAAATTTTCTTAACATCAAGACGAGCTCAACATGCATTAAAATTCACCATCCTTTAATGCATCATCGCATTTATCTCACCTCCTAAAGATCGAGCCATTGATTCTATTAACACATAATCAAATGCTTTTCAAAGCCAAAAAAATTGAAATCATAGTTAATGATCGAACTGATTCGACGTGATTAACCATATGCAATGGCTCTAACCAAAACGATTGGATTGCAGTTACAGTTCACAGAGCAAATCAAAGAGTCAAACATGAAATATTTTCGAGAATTTGGTTAAAGTTAATGGAGCCAAAGAAAGATGAGCTGATCACTGATCTTGAAATGAGAGAGGCTAACAGAATTAGAACAGATCTGACATAATTTAATAAAAATTAACGAACAGAAGCGTAATTAATAGGAAAATAATTAATTTCTATTTTTATTTTATTTTTTGAAATTTTCACTCACCTGCCGAGACCGAAGAGACTCATCGTTGGAGAGAAGCTTTGATATTTTCTTTTTCCTTTCTTCAGGTGGAGACCTGAAAAAGCTTCTTTTGCCTTTCACCTTCCTTTTTTTTTTTTCAGTATTTTTTTTATTAACAATTATTCCTTTCGTACTGTTTTTACTTAATTTATTAAAATAATTAGCGTACGAAATTCGAATAATATAAAAAGAAGTACAGAGCATCTTTTTGTATTTGAGTATTTTTAAAATACAAAAAAAAAATGAGGGGAGTGTTTTTAAATTTGGAGACAGAGAGAGCTGGGCCTAGTTTGGGTTGGACCGATTTAAATGAAAGCCTAGCACAATTAACAGGCCCAAAATACAACTGAACAGCAGGTTTTCTCTGCAAAAACTTATACCTGCTTCTTCCCATGTTATATTGCATGAATCAAATTACATAATAATTAGTTTTTATACTCCTGAGTGTAACACCTTTCAGCTTAAAACCCTTGATCTTAGCATAAACATCAAAGTAGCACAGTGCTACCAGTCAAAACTCAGTCAACAAACCAGCCCCGTACGATACAGCTTGGCATCACCATATAATACGGTCAGCTACCCCTGCCCATAAAGTTTACATTTTGACAAGCCAACACACCTGGGGATACTATACTATCAGAAACACAAATCGACTTTGGGATATAGGCACCAACAACACGTTGGCTTTCATTGCCAGCACCAAGCAGCTTGCATCCTTCCGCAGATCACAGACCAAGAGCCAGCTGCACGTTCCAAACACATGTTAAATCACCTGGCTTTAGACAATATTTTGTAGCTCGCAGCAGCACGTCGACTCCGCACAATTTTGTGCCCTGAACTTTGGACGGGCCCCCTTTCCTTTGCACCATAATCTTCCTTCCCGACATATCCTTTGAGGGCCCTGGCCCGCAAAACATACTTCGAAAAATCACCCAGGAACACACATTCTGCCCTCTTGCTCCATGGCGTGATTCTGCGTCATAAACCCCAGGGTTGAAGCGGGGGAAGATGTGTACCCCGCCCACGTCAAACACCCTGAACTCGCCTATTAGTCTTCTCTTATTTCTTTCGTCTTGTCCCTCACTGTTTTTCACTCTCTCCTTTTCTCTTTTTTTTTTTTTAATTTATAATATGATGACCTTTCCTGAACCTAAGAATATTCCAAAGCCAGTTATTCCCACAAGAGATAAAACATGACAACTCTCCCAGACAGCCCTCTAGATTGATAACAGAACAGAATAAGTAAGAGTAAGTACATGATTAGAGTAATTAGCTACTAAGAACAAGTATAATATAACATAGAACAGAAACTAAATAACTCTATGAAGAAATCCTCCAACACCAGTTTTGTTTTTCACTAACAGTACAAAATGGATGGCACAAATACAAGCAAGAATACAATTGCAAAAAAGATAAAATGTAAAAACCTTTTGCAGGGAAGCTGGCCTACTCAACAAGATGCGGATGTCCAAATGAAATGCTTATTCCGAAACCAGATCAGCTCCAAACTTCTTCATTGAACTTGTCCAACAGACGAAGGTGTTTTAAATGAGCCAAGAATGAATTTCACGTGGGAATTTGAACTTCTGATTCCCAAAATATCAAGGACCTCTAGGTAAGATTGAACAACCTCTCAGCAAAAGCTCATGTAGATACTACAGCAGTCAAGGAAGGGCAATGACTTAATAGTCAATAGCTCCTCAAGAAGGATCCGGAACATGAAATTTTGTAATTGCTCCTAAATTGGTTGGGTGTTGAAACAATCATTTAGTGAAATCTTACAGTGGTTGGTGAAGCTTTGAAATGGATGAAAACTCCTCAAAGGTGATACTTATCACTTCAGAATTTGAAGCCGAGTCATATGAGTCAAGGATTCCTCCACGTCTTTGCTCCAAAGGTTAGTACCACGTATGTCAAGCTTCTCAAGTTTTGATAAGGATTTTAAATCTGGAAGGCTTTCCAACTTGCTGCAATCGTTTAGAACAAGAATCTTCAAATTTTGAAGAGCAGTCAAATCGGGCAACTTAACCAAGCTCTTACAACCTGAGAGGTCAAGTTCCTCAAGGTTCCTATGTCCTTTCAATTCTGGCAGATCTATTAATGATGAACAACCCTTCAACCTCAGTTTCTGAAGGTTGCAGATGTCAGAAGGCAAAAACTGTATTTTTGTTTCTGATAGATCAAGTTCTCTAAGGTCATCGGCCCCTTCAAAGCTATCATACATAATTTCCCTTATCTTAACAGCACCTGAAAGATCAAGAATCTTGAGCCTAGAGACCTGTTTGAGACTGCGCATTCCAACCAACTGATGACATCCTCTTAACAAGATTATTTTTAGATTTTGAAGAGACTTAACAATAGGTAATTTCTCAATTTTGGTGCAGGAAAAATTAATCACTTGAAGTTGTTCAAATGACTTGAAGCTCTTTTCTTGGATCTTTTCCAAATTTATGGATTCAGAAAGATCAATTACCTCAAGTTTGCTGAAATTTACCAGTTTTGGGAGTTCTCTTAAAGAAGAACACTGTCTAAGGATGAGCCTGCGCAGTTCAGTCAATTCAGGGAAGCTAGAAGGTAATGATTCAATTCCGAGGGCAGATAAGTTAAGGCTTCGAAGTCTGGACACTTGATTAAAGAATTCATCTGGGATTTCCTTCAAATAGGTTGAACCAGATATCTCAAGAACAGTTAAGGCTTGGAGTTTTGATATATGTTTTATGTCCTCCAACAGGTAAGAGCCTCTAAGCAAGAGCCCAAGCAGCTTCTCCATTTTAGATATGGAGAGTTCCTCAGAAGATCTGAGCCTGGGATAAAAAATAGCAAGCAGATTGAGGTTTGGCTTAGCCCCAAAGAAAGTTTCATGAACTTCCCTGCTTAGACGACTTCCATCAATCAGTAATGAGGATATCATTTCCTCTTTCTTATCACTACACAGTGTTTTCATCATGCCATCAGCTGGTGTGATTCCTTCAAGAACTTTCCAGTCATAATCCTTTAGCACGCTAGCCAAACCTGGGTCAGCAGGCTCAGTATATCCACGGCGGCAATACTCATTCATATCAAGAGTTGCACCCTCCAGAACAACAACATTGTCCTCTTGCATTTTGAGCAAGTGACAATCTATAAGCTTCATCAAGACACGGTGTCCCTCCTCATAAGCCTTCTCAATCGGATCGGTGGGATTGAGATCACGTTCCATTATCCAGTTAGTGATCAACTCATTGTAGTGAACACCACCATGTTTTCCTAAGAAATGCCAACTATGCCAAAAGCAATCAATCATACAATTGGCTGGCTCCTTATCATATGTATAACGCAGAAGTTGTCTCAGATCATTAGCAGCCGCCTCCAAAGCAAGGTTCAAATTCCCAGCGTTATCTTTTGCAATGTAATTTAAGGTTCCTGCTAACATGAGGATGTTAGCAGGCAAAACCTTGCTCTTTTTTTGAATTGCCTCGGATAACTCTTTAAAGCCTGGTGATTGCAAAACTTCATCAACAACATTTTCTTTGTTTAACAATTTCAATGCCTCATCCCCTGAAAGGGGTTCAACAGCAACCTTCTTCGTTCCCTCAGACCAACCACCATCATTATCCCTTCTTGTAATTAGAATCTTGAATTTGCCCTTATGATTCTTGCCACAGACTTCCAAGCCTAATATTTTACTGACCATCTCTTCTTTTTGACCATTCTCGGTCATTGTCCCTACTTGACCATCTAAAACAATTAGAATAAACCCTTGTGCTGCTGTAAGCTTTTCTTCCATTTTCTGCTGTGCTGCTTTAAGCTTTTCTTCCTTTTCCTCCTTCAAGTTCTTCACACTACCCTCCTTTTTCTCATTTTCGCCAGTATCTTCCCTTGCATCTGTACTAGTAGGCAGAGAAAACTGACGAGCAATGGTGTCATAAAGAGAGTTCTCATCATGCTTTTGTTCCAGAGATATCCAAAGAGGCTCATCATGATTGTTCTTCACAGCTAACTTACATATTATTCTTGCCATCCATGTTTTCCCTGTTCCAGCCTCCCCAGTGAGAATGATTTTCGACACACTGCTATTTTCTAACAGGTGAAATATCTTCTTTGCATGATCCTCTGTCGCTTTCAATTTCATTACTGGTGTTTCAAACAATAGAAAGCGATGCAAGAATTTAGTATGATCAACGTAAATTAAACAATTCCAATAACACGTTGAGGAAAAATATGTTTCTTGTACACTATATAGCGCAATAAAACAAATTACAAGGAGTTGGTTTCTCATATTCCGATTTCAACAAGAATTCTTCACACTCACATTCTAAAGGTACCTTCAAGGATGCTTCTGTTCTGCAATTAAATTCCCAAGCTACCTACAACTCATCACTGTTCATAGACAGCTAAAAGTTCTAAAGCATACATTTGCATTACTTGGTATACCATAGATTTATTCCTCAACTAAATATTTCTTTTTCATCTAGAAATTATATGGTAAAAAAATGAAAATTATGGCAAAACTTTCTCGCTAATGTTCCTTACACATTCACCATGAAGTTCCTGATCTAAAAATCATCCCATCAAGAATATATTACATCATCATATAGTACACATTGAATCTTGTTAAATTCCAATCAACAAGCCACTGCTAACTTTCATGAGATTAATGTAAATTTGTTACTTCTGTTTAGAAATGAGTTTGAATAGACCGTTCATTACCTTTAAAATTGGGTTTCTATAGACAGAAGAACAACAGAACATTATTCGTCAAAAGAAGAGAAGACAAGCGGATAAAAAGAGAAATGTAGATTACCGTCATTGTGCTCTTCAGAGAGGTATTGGGGGCTACCCATTTCGTGTTCTCCATTGGTCTCTTGGGTACTATCCTCCTCGTTTTCTTCACTGATCTCATGGGTTGAAGCGCCTGTATTGCTCATCTCTCACACTCTCACTATACCGGCTTCCCTCCCACGAAGAAATCAGCCTAAAAATGACGATGACATCGGTAAGTTAGAATTCCTGGAAACAGGGGAGATAAAATCCCACTCTACAAATGGATGCAAATTTCCATCCAGCCGAAAAGATGAAGAGCAATTTACAGTTTTGGCTTGGTTTTGTCTTTTTCTCCCCCTTGGTGATCAAGTAAACGGTCAACCCAGACAGCTTCCCAAGTCTTTCTCTATTATCTCAACAATCTTTTTTGATTTTTTTTTTTTGCTCAGTAACAACCTTTCTTTAGTCATGTAGATTTTCTTATTCATTTCAGAGGCTAGAGAGAGTGATTGCCCCCATCAACCAACGGATGACGTAACGTAAATGCGGAGATTTTAATGCATGTGGTTGTATGGAGAGTGACTCCTCATGAAACAAGGCAAGTTGGTGTTCGAAAGCCAGTCGTCTGTTTGTCATTTCCTCCTACGAGCATTCGGGCTGTTCGCCTTGTCTCTTTCCCCTGACTAATAATAAATCCAATTCATCGCCTAAGACCAAGACTTTGGAGGGCAACGTCTTGGGAAAATAAAATTAAAAATAAATAAAAAATAACGAGAAACAGCACGAGAAGACTCGAGGAAAGTCTTTTCTTATTATTGGAGTGACAACGTGGCCTTAGGTCCCTGGAAAGTGAGTTCACAGTGTCCATCTTTCGAAAAAACCTGCAGATTTCTGAACAACTCAGAACTTGCTCTCGCATGTAATTATATTCAAACCAAGTATTCCCTCTCGCTAATACAGGTGAATCATTTATCACAATTTTTTCAGCAAATAGCCAAGTACAACCCAAACCAATGTAGTTTCTGTTTAAGTACAATTTGATTAATACGGTTAATTCGATTAATTTTAATTTTAAATTTTTTTTGATAACCTGAATTAATTAAATTAAGTAATAATTTGATTAAAATAAAATTTGAGTCAATCTTAATTTTTCAATAAATTCGATTTGATTCAATTAAGAAAAAAAATTTATCTGAATTAACTTATTTAACCAATTTTAATTACAAGAGAAAAATATCATGTCAAATTCTTAAAGTTCAACCGAAAGCAATGAGACTCGAACAAAACCCTAACTTTTTAAGCCAAAATTTTCAAGATCTCAAGAGCTATTACTATTCCTTTTAGGAGCCTTGATTTTACCCATCATTTGGACAGCTCAAGGTAGACCATTATTCAAATTCGTGAGAGATAATAGTACTCAATTATAAAGTATTCATATATCATCTCTAAGCACATGTGAATGGTAAACTACATTTAAATTGATGATGAGACAAATTACTAATAACAATGAGTTATTTTTTAAAAATAATAATAATAAAAGGGCCAGTGGATGAAAATTTTGCTTATGAAAATGAAATGAAATGATATACTACTATATGCTATAATTAAATTGACGGCTGAAACGGCGTCGCTTTAGGTAAAGTCTATTAGGGGAATAGTCCGACAGGAATCTAATCACTTTAATGCTCTGTCCTTCTGTTGAATTTGTTATTGCAAAATTGAAACCTATTTTAATTTGTGATTTGAATTATTGTCACCCATCACCATGCTCGCCGCATCCGATGTTGTTGTTCAAACATCAAAGTCGAGTCTCAGTTAAACAAAACAAGTAAACCTCAACGCAACCACTTTCGCATTCTTTATGTTATAATTACTTTCTTTTATTTTTTTAAAAATATATTTATCAATTTAACACCATCACGTGCTGTTTTATTTATCTTTTCTCGAAAAGAGTTTTCTAAACAAATGATCGATGCATGCACTTCTGTCTTTTTTTTTTTTTAACTATTTCAATTTTTAAATTTTTTTACTCAACTTAATACAACTTGTAAATTTTTTTATTTATTCCATTAAAAATAATGTAAAAATCCTCCTCTCAAAATAAAAAAATTGCAAATTGATGCAAAATTGTTTTTTTTTCCAAGTAAGCGGTCATTATTTATCAATTTAATCTATCCCCTCCAAAAAAATAAAAAATTCGTATGAGCTGGCAGGAGATGCCATCAATGAGTAATGTGAAGTAGAAAAGGCTAAAGCATTGAGTGTAATTGTGATCTAATTGCCATCTTCGTCGTACAAATACATAATTCATTTCCATTTGAAATTAAATTAAATTTAATTAATGGCTTTAATGTTATTGACCTATTAACAACCAACCAAAAGTATAAGTATTATATTGTAAATTACATAATAAATAACAAAAATGACAAAGACTATTTTATAATTAAGTAATTTATATTATTATCTAATAGGATTAAGTAATATTGAGATATTTTATAATGAAATTCACATGAGACTTGATAGTAAAATTACTACATGTCAATTCAAAAAAAAAATTATTACATGTCACAAATTCAAATAAGATTCAAATAGTAACCATAAAATATTTACTATTGAATTCGATTATGATATTATAAGTATTGCATAGCAAGTATTTGTTGGGGGGTTTTTTTTTTTTTTACACTTGTTCAGGATCACACTTTTTATTTAGACAGTAATGGAGATAAAAAAAGGAAAAGATAATGAAATATAGGAGTCTGACATTTGAAGTCAATAGAGTCAATACTAGAATTATACTAAAAACTGCTTCTAGCCAGCTAGTATTCTGGCATGATGAAGAATAATAAAGGCCAACTCCAATATACAAACGACCAAGCAGGCTGACTTGACTTTCCAAGAAACTGGTTACTGGGATTGGGTGTCCTCTGTTTTGCATTCGGTCTGCAGCAACTCCGTCTCCAGCTCAACTGAACTCTGCTCACAGAGAGCTGAAATAAGAAGGAACCATAGGGAGGAAATGGTGGACCCGATCCCACGAAAGGTCAAGAACACCTGGGAGAAATGGAATATCCGAGGGACTATTCTGTTCAGTCTCTCAATGCAGACCTACCTGATTTTGTTCGCCCCATACAGAAAACGCACAAGGAACAAACTCTTAATCATACTCATCTGGTCGGCTTACTTGCTGGCCGATGCGGCGGCTAATTTCACTGTGGGTCTCATCTCCAACAGGCAAGGCGGTGATACTAAATCTGGTACTAAGGAGAACAATGCTCTTATAGCTTTCTGGGCACCCTTTCTTTTGCTGCACCTTGGTGGTCCCGATACAATTACTGCTTTTGCTCTTGAAGATAACGAACTCTGGCTTAGGCACTTGCTGGGTCTTGGCTTTCAAGCTGTTGCCACTCTTTATGTCTTTGTTCAATCAATTCCAAACAGGCTATGGATCTCCGCTACCCTCATGTTTGTTGCTGGAA